TATTGACTTAATCTAACCCAATCCAATATAAATTTATTATAAACGGATCAGGTCTAATCCAACCTAATAAATATTTTGGACTAGATTGATCCAATCCAATATATCTTGTTGGTTGGTCCGTCCAATCAGTCCAAATTGATTTAAGACTGGACAGGGTCCAATCCAACACCGTTCTATTGACACCTTTAAGTGATACAAGTCGATGGTCTCGAGCTATTTGATTGGAGTGCTCCTTCATGCTCTTGCATCTCTATGTGGTAAAGGTGCACCAACAGCTTCCAAAGCTGTTCTCGTCTCCACTACTGACTACTGTTATTGGAGTAATTTCGATTGAACCCATGTACGCTTTGATCATCTTTGATCTTGCCCTTATGATTCCTAACAATGCACCCGAAAGCACAATATATTCCTATCCATCCATCCAGACGCATCAAAATTTATGTTAATCTGATTTTCTTTTGGAGGGACCTATTTGATCCATTTGATGGTAAGATTTTTTTATTGATAAAAAATAGTATGTTCGTTTTTCTTTTCTTTTTTTTTTCTATTCGGTTTATCACAATTTGCCTCCTTGAATTCCTTTTAAATATAAGGCTGCTTTCTATCAACTTATGAGGGATTCTAACTTTTATTATTAAAGATTCTTTTTCCATATTTCCAAATGAACCAAAGCCAGAAGCTGATTTTTTTTTTCCCAAAAGCTGCCCAATAATACACCAGATTTTTTATCTAACATACTAGTCCACCACGAACATGGCAGAATATTTTGCCCACTCCCATGCTCTTTGCAATTCAGATTTTTAGTCCACACCGACCTACATTTAGAAGTGTCAATGGACCGGTTTTGGGTTAGACTTCGTCCAAATCAAAATCTATTTGGGTGGACTGGAAGGACCAATAAGACATATTAAATTTGGACGGACTGGATGGATCAATATAATATATTGGATTGGACCCGATTTATCCATAATAAATTTATATTGGATTGAGTCAATATCAGGTCCATTGATAGAAGATAAGATTATAGGTGTCAATGGACCAGGTTTTAGTTGAAATCAATCTAAATTAACAGGAATTTGAACAGGTTGGACAATCTCTGGACCCGGTTTATCCATAATAAATAGTCCAAAATATTCATAGGACCAGGTCCATTTATAATGGACTCACATTGGACTAGACCGGATTGGACCAAATCCAGTCCAATTGAGACCCCTAAATTACATGACAGGCTGTACATTAGAAACATCCCCTCATAAATAGTAGCATGTAAATACGAAAGATGTTATCAATGTACAAACTGTAGGGAGGCATGGATAAGTGTGGATACTGGGTATGACTGCTGGGATCGGGATTTGGTAGCCAAATTCGAATAACCAACGGGCACTGTAAATATATGAATTGCATCTTCGAACTTCGATTTCTCCACATAATACACACTCGAAGTCACAGTTGAGCCCCTTACTATCCAGTTGAGTTTTCTGTTGGTAATTTTCCTCTCAAGAAAAGCCATGGAATGAACCTGATCTTTAGAGGGCAGTCAATTCTTTCTATAGACTCTGTGGCTCTTCTCAAATCAATATTTTCCTCTTCTTCCTTATTTATCATGGCATATACAAATTTAACCAAAAAAAGATTTCAGACGGATTTGCCCTCGATATCATTTCGTCTTTGAAAGGGATTTTGGTTTTCCATTTCCTGATCCTCGGAAGAATTTGGGATTGAATCCTCTAGGACTCTATCCCCTATCCAAATGTCTTTCCATAGTCTACAGGTCCTTCTGTTGACAATTTTCCAATGTAAACATTTTTCAGGTTTTCTCTTTGATGACAAATACTTCTCCATCTTGAAGAAGCTGGTTTGGAGATTTTACAATTGAACAAGTCATTTTTTTATTAAATTTTTTCCTCATTTTTTAATAAATACTTCTCCACCGGGTTTGAATGCCTGCTCAAGCCAATCTACAAAAAAGAAAAGGCATAAGATGGTTTGTGCATTCAAAATTCAACTCCAAGCCTAAACTTGCCTTTGTTTTTAACTTCTCTGAAATCCAAACCTGGAACCTTTCTGTCTCTTTGCTTTGTACTGTTATTCAAACTCCCTTTTAGGGGCTCCTTAGCTTGCTGTCTGTAACCTTCAACGCATTCTCTGAAAAGCAAAAACCAACAACTATTTTAGCAGATAAATAGAAATTGTTGTTCTTATTTGAACTTTAACTTCCACAAATCATCAACCCAGGCCGTTCATTTGCTGATAGCCTGATACAATGATAAGTTGGGAGCGGAACCCTGAGAGACAAAGCCAATTTGCGATCTCATCCATCCATTCAAAATTAGTGATGGGATTTTCTTATAGGTCCTAGTTGACACATCACAGCTTCATTTGGGTGATGTTTGGCATTGATGCTGTTTTTTGAGAAAACAGTACCACATAGGCACCACATCAAAGAAAGCAGTGCTTCAAACAATGCCCTCTTGCTTGGTACCGTTTTTCTAGAAAAAATATTCTAAATTATGCTTTAGAAATCGGGAAAGTGTGGTCTGAAGTAACATTAAATTCAATGTTTTCTAAAAAAAATAATACCAAATTCAATGTTTTCCGAGAAAATAGCACATTACTGCCAGTGATACAATGATGTGGCATCATCTTGGACGAATAATATAGATCAAGCACAGGTACCAAACAAAATCAGTGTTGTTTTCTCAAAAAATGCCTATAAAACGGCACCAGTTTCAAACAAAAAATAAACATCCTCTTCTCAACTCCACACGCCCACCTCCATTTTTATAAGAAACGGTGAGATATTCTCAGCAGCGGTAAAAACACCTATTTTTATGTTTATGAAATTGCAGTGGCCTAGTATTTGGTACTATTGCTGTTTTGTATTTTTCTTGGTTTCTATTTGGTTGATGCATTTTTTTTATTTTTGGGTTTTTAGTAGATAAGGATAACTTTGTGCCCTTAATATCAATAAAAAATAATATTTTTATATATTAATCAGTATTTGGTACTATTGCTGTTTTTTTTTATTGGTTTCTATTTGGTTGATGCAATTTTTTATTTTTGGGTTTTTAATAGATAAGGATAACTTTGTGCCCTTAATATCAATAAAAAATAATATTTTTATATATTAATCAAAATAGGATAGTTTTTTTTAGAAAAATATCAAGAAAGGGCAGTTTGACACTATTGCTTGTCATCCTCCTCTCACCTCTATATTCATGCTAATGGATAATAAGATTCCAGTCAAGTAATAACCAGAAATGCTCTTCACGTCCCAGAAAGCAAACCAGTAGTGGGGCGTCTTCGTCGTGACGTGGAGTCGAACTCTTCATCTGCACAGAGCAAGAGAACCAAGGGTCTTCCAAGTTCAGTATCGGAAGCAATTTCAGAAAGATTGAGCCCTCCACTCATGAGAACGCCATGACGGAACGCTGGCGAGGCTTGGGCTGTGCACGTGAGAAAAACCTAGCGAGGCTTGGGCAGAACGCCTTAACGGCATCAGGTGAGGATGAACCCTCCTCTCATGTCTTGTTTTCCACACCAACATGGGCGGGCAAGAGAAGAAAGAGGAATGAAAGGACAATGGATTCATAAGTAATGGTCGGAATCTTATTATCTTCCGGCAAGCATTGTGGGTTGTAGATCCACAGTCCTCCGACAAGCAATGGATTCGTAAGGAATGGTCGGAATCTTATGTCACAAAACTTTCGGAGGTTCTGTGAGTTCTTGGAGATGGACACTTGGACAAAATTTCAGTTATTTGACCGGAATCTTATGATTCATTTGGATGAATACAGAGGCAGAGGAGGAAGACGAATACCATTGCCCTTTTTTTATATTTTTACAAAAAAGATATCTCATTTTAGTTAATATATAAAAATATTATTTTTTATTGATATTAAAGGCAAAAGGTTGCCTTTATCTGCTATTCTCCCTTTTGGGAGAATGACCATTCAGCCCAGGGTCAGAATTTATAGGCCCAAAGTATTGTTGGGGTTGGTGCCAACTCGAAATTGATAGTTTGATACCAATTCACGGGCAGGTGTTGGTGCATAGAATGTGGGTTATTAACATTTTGAATGTTTATAGCTCTGCAGTGGGAATCAAAAATCTGCATTGGGCCTGTCCGTACTTTTTCGTTTTTTTCTAAAAAAACATTGTCAATTTTTTGCCTTGATTTATGTAAAAGTCATTTTCCTAGAAAACATCATCTCATATTGTTTTTGGGGGGAAGCGTTTTTACGCCAATATAATATTTTTTTTGGGATTTTGTCAAATCCAAGAAAAAAACATTGCCTATGGCTTCAAGGCATAGATAATTCATTCCTCTAGCTAGTTGCAAGGATTAAAATAGGAAGAATGACCGATCTGCCCAGGGTCAGAATTTGTAGGCTCAAAGTACTGTCAGGATAGATGCCAATTCACGGCCTGCACCAGCATGAATTGTTGACCTTTTGAATGTTTATAGCTCTACAGTGAAAATCAAAAATCTGCATTAGACAAATCCGTACTTCTCCGAAATAGTAATACCGGCTTATCATATCCATATCGGTGTTCGGTGTACCTACTACCTAGATATGATGCACCAAAAAACGGAGCATTGGTGACATCGATATGTACTGATACTCCTTTTACACAAGGGAGGGGAGACCGGATATGCTCCTCACAAAGGGCGCCTCATATGCACCTCACACACACACCCTACCATGCATTGGGAACATCTCCCGTATTTTAAGTTATTATTCACGGGAGATGTTCCCAATGCACGGTGGATGTGCATGTGAGGAGCAGATCCCGTTCCAAGGAAGGGGGATAGCCCATTCCCTAACCCATAAACCCCCAACAGATAGAATTTGATCCCAAGTCTCTGTTACAAACAGAAAGAGACCTTACCAAATACCAACTAATACTTGTTTTAATATAGCCTATTTGGCTGCCAGAGAGAGATGAAAGTCACCAACTTTTCTTTTCTTTTTTATTTTTTTGAGTAAAATTGAAAGTCACCAACTACTAGGTATCACACATTAGCTGTGTTAATCATGTTGTGATTGTACAAAGTAAGCTGAGCTCCTCCTGTAGGTTGTCAGTTTACAAAGGAAAAGCCACAAGAGGAAAAAAAATATGCCAAAAAAACAAAAAATAAGAAAACCCACACTGCCACACATTCTACAACAATCGCATTTATATATTGGAAAAATATCCACAACCCACCAATGCAAAAATGTTGGTTCCACATAGTTTCAATGAGGAGATCCTCCAAAAGGAATGGCCTGAAAAGGCAGTCTCAAACAACAGTTTGATCTCTCAATTCATTGGACTCTTACCGATCCATCTTGCTTCATTTTGATGAGACTGCTCTCGATGTTCCGTAGTACTGGCTTGTAACTGCATGAAGAGAGAGAGAGAGAGAGAGTTAACAACCTCTCTAACTGACAACAAAACTATAACATTGAGAAAAAAGACACTTGTTACAATCAATAAGGCTATGTTTGGTTTGAAGGAAAACTATAGCAGTGATAAAAAAATGATTACATGCGAGCAAGACCATTATATGCTTGTATGGCATGTTGAAGTTGAGCAGAAAGCCGCATGACCTCTGCAGAGAGTGCCTCCGCTTTGCTCTGTTCTTTTGCAAGTTGCCCCTATACAATTGATAAATAAAAATTAGCAAAGTTGCTTAAAAAGGAAGTTGGACTCCCCTGTTTATTAAAAATTATAGTAATAATAAATACAACATAATCTGAATTTGAAGAATTTAATAGAGAAAAACAGTTCTAGCCTTCACATGTGTCATGGATGTATAGATTATAGAGAGAGCCAGGACCAAGAATTCACAAGTCGCACACAGGATACTACTTACTCTATAGATCTATTCATCTAAATACTAAATTTTTTTATTCTTTTTCGATAGTTATACTAATATCAATTTGGTTGTTGATATTTGTTCAATCACATTGTGCAAAAATTGCCCGAGGACAGTATCCAGTCTACCCCTCCCCAAATCCCCAGATAACTGGGACTAACATTGGGTAAAGGCCTTTATATTTCATTGTCATTATCATCTAAGCCTTATCCCAACAATATGGCCTTTACGTTTAGTTCAATTAATATTTAAAGATAATTTTATCTAGAATGTTATAAGTAGGGAATAAGCTGTTATCATGTATTTGAGGTTATTTATAATCTTATGCTGGCAGATTGTGTGCTATAGGCAATGTTCTGAAAATCATAATCGTGAATCCTACTAGATTCTTTTTATTCACAAGATGCGTACTGATATTGAGAGCAGCAGAGCTCCTGATTAAGATGTTAATAGGCCATCCAGGCTCCATGCATTCTTCTGCATGGGACATGACAGATGCAGCCCAACAACGATGTATTATCACTAGAATTTGTTCTTTCAATCTCAGTTCATATACAAACTGACCCTTATTTCACCACATTCCATTGAATACTTTGAAATTAGCAAAAAGAAAGAAGCATATTGTCTTCTTACTTTCTGTCTTTATTAATTTTCTCAATGCCAGGATAAAGGAGGGTGTCATCAGGCTAGTACCCACAGAACTTTTACTGAACCTTAAGTTCAGTTCCAACTTCAAGTCTGGCCAATATTAAGGTGGGAGTCAGAGCTCTTAAAGGGAATATACATTACTACGCTTGGTTCAGAGAGTGGAATGGCAGAACCAGTATAGTTTGCAATTGAGACAAGGCTTTTGTTGCGTTGGGTTGATTTTATTATTACCAGATTATTTGTGTTTGTAATTTTATTGAGGTCTACCACAGAAGGTAACTCCCACTAGGTAAGTAAAACTAAGTCATTTCAAGCTATGTTCATATCTTAACCATCAATAAAAGAATTGGGCCAGACAGCAGTTCAGACATGAATGCTGTAAAAGAGACTTCATTGCCTAGCCCAACCTTATTTTGTCTCCTTATGTCTCTTCTTTTCCTTCTTGTTTTTTTATATATTGGAGGATGATCTAAAGCTTTCAATAGGCAAGTTATTCATCAAGAAAAGATAAGCATATATACCAGAAAAAAGGAATAACATTGCATCTGAATTTTTCCTAAGAACAGACCTTAAGAGAGAAATTTTCAGCTGTATATGCCTGCATTCCCTGCAAATTTGCACCATTTTTCCCACCTTCCAACAAGCTCAGATTATCATTTAAAGGCAGCAAATTAGCCTGCTCTGCTCTCAATTTATCTAGCAGGCCACGAAGCTCTTCATTCTGCTTAAGACAGTCTTTCACCTGCAATAATGTGTCAGTAGATTAATATACAAAAGAGCCCAACACCCAGATAGAGACACCAAGCTAATAGCAGCAACAATGACAATTTTAAGAACATGGCAAATGTTGAAAATCAAGTGGCAATGTTAATCAAGAAAGTCAACTAAACAATATAAATAGATTGCCTAGTACTAAACCATATCATGACAAATATGGCCAAATCAACTTAATTACTAGTAAAGCAAAAGTAAAGAAGGAAAATAGATGTGGGACCTAGGCTGGAGATGTAGAAGGAAATAATTTAGGTCTAAGTGCAGATTATTTCTTAGTAGCTTATTTAACTACTGTCAAGTTCCAAAGAAATGGAAAACTGAAGGTACGGGCCCAATAAATCCCTTGAATCAAACCTTTCACCTTTCCAAAGCTATGAAATGCATTGCTTGAATAACATCAATTGTATTTACAGAAATTAATAGTTAAAAAAACAAAGAAATGTACACTTTTTTTTTGACAGGAAAGAAGAAATGTACACTTCTAAACCCAAGTCTACACATTACTAAGAAATAACATCAATTGACCCATCCTTTTTTATCTCCTTGTTAAAAACTTTCATACTATATCAGCCAGGCATGCAGCAACACATTCAAGTTTTGTTTCCATAACTTTACATGTGGTCACACACATGAGCATGACTTGCAAATCATCTATTAGGAATATCCTCAAGACCTCTTAACATGCTGACCTTCAAACAACCTTCACCTTGCACTATTCTATCCAAAAAAAAATATTTTTAGTCATTAGATCCAATGTAATGCAGAATATCTGTAATAGAGGTTTAAAACATTCACCATTCAACAGGTACTGCATAGGAAATCCACATGGCAAACATCAATACAATCAGATTATCCTACCCACATGACAAACTTCTTTTACCAAAAAATAAAAAAGAAAATTCAAAAGATCAAATGACTATGATTATCCAATAATAATCATTTAGTGATATACATGCAAATATGGTTGACAAAATTGCATGTTTTACAATACAAGTCAAAATTCAAATTAAATCCAAAGGGTTCTAATTCAGATCTTACATTTATTGTAACAGCCTTGTGATTATTGCTTTAAGCTTATTATCCAATAGTCAATCTTATGATTATATGGTTCATATGATTCAAAGCAATTTGATTGAGACCTAGTTTGCTATTTTGTCATTCCTATGTTTCTTACAATGCCCCTTTCTCTTCATTCTGATTCCTAACTCCAGACTTTGTGCTTACCTGGTTCTCCCACTGTACCACTACCCCCATCGCATCTTCATAGGAGGCTGAAAGACTAGAATTCTCTTCAAAAAGCCTCTCAATCTCTGAAGATTGTGAATCAATCTGCAGGAAAGATGACAAAACAACTATATCTTTCAGATGGTGAATGCATCAAAATATCCCATTCAGATTACTTGAGATAAAAAATAAAGAAAAAAAAATTACTTCCATCAGAAGTTTCTGCCGACTGCTTTCCAGTCTTTCAACCATCACTGCCAAATCATGTAATTGCTGCTCCAGTTTCTCCTTGTCTTGCTGCAAGAGGTACCAGGATAATGAAGCATGGAGCCTTGGATATACTAGCGCATTATGCTATGATTTATCACAAAACAAATGTAGCAAAGGGGCAATAAAAAATGCATGGAGCATATGTAACCAAGAATCAACCATGGACCATCTCTTGCAATCCATGCAATGCCATATTATATCAACTTGATAATTGACAGAGCTAACCATTAGTTTTCTTTTCTTAAGAAACTGTCTGAAAAAGAACTTCACCCAAAGGCATTGACTCTTACCACTGAAAATGTCTTATGAGATGCTTCTTCCATGGTTTCTTCTGCATCAGAAAAAAAAGCAGAGCCACAAATCATGAAACCAATTGCTAAGCAATATGAAAAGGGTTCTGAATTTCTACTACACAAGGACTTTTCTGAAGAATTTCTGAACTGATATTTAACAAGAGAATCAAGACAGTGCATATGTTGGACCATTAGAAGTGATTCAACATGGAAAAAAGAATACAATACCAAGTTACCAACAAGTGCAGATGAAGTGCCTACATCAAATCTCATACTATATTAAGCCAGATTTTAGATTATTAGCTCATATCATATAATCTCATCATCACCATCTAATCCTTATCCCAACCATATCGGGTCAGCTACGTGAATCCTGTTTTGCCTTTCCATTCTATTTAATGCCATATCCATTGTTAAATTATGATTTATGAGTGCTTAAACCATAGCTTATCATATAATCCCATTCTTCACGACGGATTTCTGCAAACCAGGAAGCAGATTTTGTTTTCTGAATACACATAACCACCTCCAACATATAAACTGAAACACTCAAAACAATGTTAAAATTGAAATGGCATAAATGTAATTTTCCTTATAACCTACCATACATTGGGGCCTTGGTTTTGCATTGTCTAATTCCGTGCCCATTTAAAAAGGCCACAATTTTTTGGTCTAGATGAATTCTGGCTGGAACTATAAAGAAAGCAACTCTAACTACACTATAAGCGGTGTTACCTAGACTTCAAAACAAAAGGATCTAACTATGCCAGCACTTGGCATGACACTCCTTGCAACATCTCAAAGATTTTTTTATCAATAACAAAACATTTTATTAAATTAAAAGCTCATTGAAGAAATACAACCATCAGCTCCATAAAGTTGGCCCAACCCTCAATTATCATTTGAAGCAGCCTATCACACCTAATCCCTAGAAACCCCTTGTTTGACTAATGCATCAGATAAACCATTTGCTTACCTTTTAACTCATTTGAAAGAGACCCCAACACATAAGCAATCTTTCTGATTTCTCTCAATTCTTGTTTATACACCCATCTTCCTTGACCTTTAGTTTTTAACCAACCCACCACTAACAAAGAGCCACCTTCAACCTCCACCTGCCTTGGCAGTTGGCACTAATATCACTAGAAGGGGCATATCCAATAAGGAAAGAACTCTTGAACTTTCTTTTTTTCACTATAGTCTTAAATTATTCATATAATTAAATGTTATTTATGAAAAAATTATTCAAACTTTTCCTATACATTTTGAAACCAGCCAAAACTAACCCTGCTTTTCAAAATAGGCTTAGAGCCCCGGACATCCACTATTAGAGAATCTCTGTTAAACTACAAGAGGAAATGTGTAATGACAGAAAAAAAAAAAAAACCTTCCCATTAAATGATAAAAAATGCAATCAATTAAAGTTCTGAACCATACCCTTATGTAATAGATCCTTAATGTATCAATTATCATATCCAGGATTCAAGTATCAGATTGTGGTCTCTCTTCAAACAAAAATAGTATGGAAACTCAGAAGATCATTTTTTTTAAAAAAACAATTTATTCTTTTTAGAAATCAATCTCTAACACTAAACCTATGCCTTTTTTGTTGAAATCAAAATCCATTCTTTCTTTTGTAGTTTCTGAGGATTCTCCAGATTTTCGTTAACAGAATCCTCGACAGTAAATACTTTCTGAATCCAACCACATAAGGGCTTAACAAAACCTAAATTCACAATGGCAAGTTTTTTTTCTCGGGAAGAGATAAAGTATGATTTTATTAAAGAGAAAATAAAATACCCTGTACAATGACAAGGTATTTTTGGATTTACAAAATATTCTAAAGTAGCATAATGGCATTATGTTAGTACATTAATGGATATCTACTGGAGGGAGGCTTGTGCTAAGAAAACATATGAGACAGGGGATACCTAAGCCTATTTCTGAAAAACAGGGAAAGTTTCAGCCAGTTTTAAAAAAGTGTAGAAGTTTGAATAATTTTCTCTATTATTTATCGGTGCTTCCTTGTACCAAAAGTTTTGGAGTTCGGTGTGAATACACCTATGAACAGCTTAATACTTGCACCCATTTGACATACCAAAGTAACAATTGTTATAAGGATGTCTAAAAACCATCCTGTGAATCAATCAAATAAAAAAGGGCATATGTGAATTTTATTAATGAGAAGACTTGTCTTCAAAGAAAGAAAAAGGAGTAGCATAATAGAATATAAAGGTTCCATGTGAAAACTGAAAATCTCAGTTGGTTCTTTTTGATGTAGAGGTTAAAACATGAAAGGCTGTGGACTATGACCCATCCAGTGACTGAATCTTACAGATTGGTGAAGCTAGCCCAAGTATAGCTATTAGTTGAATTTGAATGAAAATGACAAACCTCTGAGGCTTCCTTTCTTGTCACCCCCCCCCCAAGAAAAGAGAGAAAAGAAAGCCAAGAAAGAAATGAAAAGAAGTGCTAAAAAGAGAAAATGACAAATAACTCTTTACAAGTTAAGTACCTGAGGCCTTCTTGGATAAATCTGCAAGTTTTGCTTCCAGTTCTTGCTTTTCAGATACGAGGGCAGATACCCGGGCTTGTTCCTCAGCAAATCTTTGTTGCTCTTTCTGCCGCAGCAATGACTCTCGCTATGGTTTTAACAACCATCAGGAACCCACAAATAAAGCATCTCAAGGATACAATATGGAAAAATCAATTACAAATTCTAACCTGCAGCTCAGATTTTAAATTGGTCAACTCCGTTTCCATGGCTTGCATATGATTTGATGAATTATCCATAAGGGGAATGCTTCCAAGTGGATTCATCATTGCTTGCTGTTGTAATGAGTTCAATTCTGCTCTCAAGGCCGCTGCATCTTCCTCAGCCTATTCCAAAAGAACTCCATAAGAAGTTAAGACCCAAGTCATTTTTAACCTGCTTTTAAAAACTCACGGTAATAAATCATTTGCATACTCTATATTGTTCTTCTTCTGCTTCCTTTAAACGTTTCTTGAGTGTCCGAAGCTGTGCTGATAGATCCTCCTACACTAAAGAATCCAAGTTTGCAAATGAAGCATATACACAAACAAATGCAGGAGATGATAGGTAAAATAACAAACTAGATGATTAATATATACCCGTGTAACAACTGCTGCATCCTTCTCCATTGCCACATCCCTGAGAGCTTTCCTTAGTGATGGAACAGTATTTTGTTCCTGTAGTAAAGCAAAACCAGGGAAAAAAAGGCAAAAGACTATATTAAGGCACGCTACTTCCAGTATTCTTACTGAGCAAATAATAACCAGTTTAGTGTTAAACATGACGCAAATGAAAGGAACAGGACCCACGACTCTAGGATTCTCCTAGGAAGTCTCCTATGCCAAAAAACCACTCAACCTAGCCAGAACCATCCTTTGTTTAGGCTATTCTTTTTCTAGGTCATTCTCCACAAATTTTGTGCACAATGATCTAATTCCTTTATAGTGCTGGATCAATAAGGCCATATTAAACAATGCCGAAAATTGAGGCCCAAGAACTTACCAAATCATTTAAACGCTTTTGCAGTGTATCATTCTCGACTTCCTTTGCCTGAAGCTGAAAGTAGTAAATAGCAAATTCTCAGAAAAATTCAACAATTGCCTGCAAGTACTTTGGCTTTCAAATTTAGGAAAGAAACATTTTTATCCAAAAAAAAAAAATAGTACCTTAGATAATAATGTCTTGTTTTCTTCCTCGAGTTCGTTATTTTTCTTCTCGAAGTCTTTAAGTTGAGCAACCAAAGCACCAACGTCCTTCTACAGTTTTCAAAAAATATATATATTCCAACTAAAAACATGGGGTTTGCAAATCAAATTCACAAAGAAAAACTTCCCAAGAACACAGTATATTCTTCAAAAAAAAAAATTCTATTAGAGATGGATGATGTAAACCCTACCTCGGAGAGCCGATTTGTGCTCTCTGATTTAACCATGCCTGCATAATTTCGGGCAAAAATTAGAAAAAAAAATCAACAAATAAACTTTAAACATAAACATGCAATATTTTCAATAGAATAATAGGACATTTACAGAGAGCCAAATCAACAGACCCTGCGCATTCGAAGCCTGTAGATCTGATCCTGAGGAAGCTTTGCTTAATCTCTCTGCTGCTCTTTTTTGACGAATTTCTTCCAACTGAATATTGAATAACATTAAAAAGAAATTAACTTTGAAAAGTTTTTCCAAGAACTTACTATGAAAAAGAAAGATATTGCAGAGATCAAACGAAATAATATAGATGGAAATTGCAGCACGAATAAGATTACGAGATTCGTACCGTTCGTCGACCTAGAGATGCATGACGTGCCTCCATGACTGAAAACCAACTAATGCCCTAGAATTTCCCCTCCGGCTCCGGAGACGTCGATTTAACGTATGCCGGTGCCAGCGAGTAATCTCCAATCACTGGTTTTCGCGGTCCGACGTCAATGGTGGCCGCTCCAATAACGAATTGCCTAATGACTACCTGAAACTTTTTTAACCATTTTCCTACCCCATCTGGTTATGGGCCCCTAAAAATAATGGGTTCAAATGGGCCTACATGAAATTCGGGCTGTAGTCGGCCCAGACGATTATTTCACGGTTTACTGCTACAGATGGAGTGGGCCAAGGCTTCTAAGCTAAATAAGGTGGGCTACCCAAATGGCAAATTTTAATGGGTAAATTACAAAGGCCGCCCCGTACTATGGGGTCTGGACAAAGACCCCCCTGTATTTTGCTTTGCGACAAAGTCCCCTTCGGTTGGTCTTTCGTTGAAGTCCATCATTGCAATATTTTTTAATCCCCATATTACTCTTATAATAATTATTTGGAGAAAAATATTGTTCATCTTCCCGGACCTCACAATACACGAACAACAGTGGCAGTAGCTATTACAGCAGCGGCAGACTTATGAAGTCCTCTCTCTCTCTCCCCCAATCTCTCTTCTTCCCCTTCCCCTTTCTCTCCTCCCCTTTCTTCTTCCCGATTTCCTCTGTTTTCCGTTCCTTGCAGATGGAGAGAGAGCGAGAGAGAAACAGAGAGTAACTATTTTATCCCGGTTGTTGGTGCCTGGAAACCTGGAGAATTTTGGTAGTGGGAATTTGGACGTTGTTAATATGTTAACAATTTTATCTCGGCTCCAAGGTAAGATGGACTTTCTCATGGTGTCAATAGTTCTTGACATCACATAGGATTTCACTTGATCCAACTATCATTGCAATCACAGATAACAATGTGGACAAAAGTGCCAATGGTCCATGAACTCTAGATAGAGAACGACTTATTCAAATTCTTAACAAGATTAATGCTTTGTCCTTCTCTGGAAATTCTACTTCAAGATTGCATGTACCTTGTAGTTTTGACGAATGTTTCACAAGAAGCTTCTTCAGACAGCTTGAGCAAAACAAATGGAAATACACCCGTTCCCTCTATCATGAACTTGCTTGTTGCTTTGGCAGCAGCTACACCTGATACTATTGCACTTCTTTCTCAAAGAAATAGCAAAAGTTGTGATGATGATAAAAGTAAGTTGAACTCCCTTGACCGAGCTGGCGGTTTTTATTTACAGAAGAAGCCAATTCTAGGTGCCCTTCAATTGGAGGAGAGAGAAGTAACAGTACCTCTTAATCTCCAACAGAGACTCCAGATTACCAAGTTCACATATCTAGACCAAGCTTACCATTTCAACTATTTAGTTTCTCTCTAGAGGGTGGCAACCTACCTAAATTGGGATCTTCCAGGAGACATTTCTCCTTAGACAGTAGTAATCCATTGGAAGAGAGGTCTCCTTCATCCTCTCCCACTGTGTAGAGACTATTCCCACTGCATTCTGAAGCAGAAATTTTGAAACATGAGAGAATGTCCATAAGTGGAGAGGATAATGCAACAATTGAGACCAGCACAACTCGTCGTTGGACATCACCTCTAAAACTCTCTAAAGGGCCAAATGGAAGGCTCGAGAGTGGTTCAGCTCAAAACCCACAAGACTACAATATCAAGGAGGATACACTTCCTCATTTGGCTCAGATCATTCACCTACAAAGAATGGAAAACAGAGGAAATCGAGAAGAAGAAAGGGGAAGGGGAAGAAGGGAGATCAAGGGGAGAAAGGGAGGAAGATAGAGGGAGGACTTCGGAATTCTGCTATAGCTATTATTCGTGTATCGTGAGATTGGAGAAGATGAATAATGTTTTTTTCCAATAGTTATTATAAGGATAGTATGGGGATTAAAAAATATTACAATGCAGACTTTAATAAAAGGCTAACAAAAAGGGGTCTTTGTCTCATGATCAGTATAGGGAGTCTTTGTCACAAACCCATATATGGAGGTCTTTGTAATTTACCCAATTTTAAAATCGACCATGTGCGCTTTAAGCACTATGCGTACATTAGGAGAAGGCGTCGTATAGATAGACTCCAATTTGAAAATTTTTAACAAACAAAACCTATCGAGTATTTGTTGTTCGAGTACTCATTTGGCTCGCTGTGCTTTTCAAATCTCTCTTTCTGTTGCAGGTAGGCTTTCATAGATCGAACCAACTGAAGATGAGAGAAAGAAGACAGGACGAGAAATAAAACCAAAGGTACTCATTTTGATCTCTTCCTCATTTTTCTTGTAGAAAAATTATACATTTATCTCAACACTTAACGACAGATTTTGATTTATCAATTCAAAATATGCGAAGAATTTTGCCTTAATTATCGATAATTTCTGCCTTCTCGATCAAGTTATTGTAGATTTCAGTTTCCCTTTTCTCTATTTTCCCAAGTCGGGAAACTTGAGTTCATGCTTTCTAGAATTCTACATACATGTTTGTGGAAATCTTGTTTTTTTTTTTTTTTATTACCTGTTATTCAAAGATAGAAATCTTTATTTGCACTGATTTGGGGAAGAAATTGCTGATTCTTTTAGAGGATCTAAGGAGGAAGTAAAGCGTGAAGAATAGCCTTTTACAATGATGAGCTTTGCGGATCCGTCAGTGGCCATCTTAGCAGCTTGCGGCGGCGACACTGTTAAGCTCTTCGATGTTTCTGTGGAGCCGGGTGATCCGTGCACCTTGAGCTACACACCTTCTCCTGGGTCACAAGTTAACTCAGTGAAGTGGAATCACACCAGTAAGTTGACACTCCATTATCGGTTGTCTTTTCAAGTGCCCTTATTCCCAAGCTCCGATTCCGCAGTTCGACATTCCTTCAGAAGCACAGGATAATTGTGTTTAGTTAACTCCTCTTAAATTTTCGTATCCTCGTATTTTTCATTTCACTCTCCTCAAATGGGCGCAATGCGTGCAGATATAGTTGTTGCGAGTGCTGGAGATGATAAGAAGATCTCTTTATGGCGGAAAAATGGGCAAAGTATGGGGACTGTTCCGGTTTCGGGGAGTGATAGTGGAGACAATATTGATGTAAGTAAACTGAGGCAGTGTATTGTGTGTAGAAGTGAACAAGTTCGATTTTGGGCGAAGGAAAACAAGTGGCATTCTTCTAGGTTAAATTATTTAAATTATGTCATAATTTTTCATTTTGTGCAGGAATCTATAATGGCTATCAGCTTTAGCAACAAGGGTTCTAGGTATATTTGCTCTGGAGGAACTGGTCAAGTTGTAAGAATATGGGATTTGCAGAGGAAGCGCTGTATAAAGTGGTTGAAGGGTCACACTGATACAATTACAGGTGCAATTTACAATTGCAAAGATGAACACTTGGCTTCTATCAGTTTAAAGGGTGATCTTATTCTTCATAATCTTGCTTCTGGAGCGAAGGCTGCTGAACTCAAGGACCCAAATGAGCAGGTTACTGACTGTTTTAAACTTGGTTCTTCATAGTAATATGTAGGATGTAGCTACCAAGCATTCTCATGTTGATATGTCATATTTCTTTTTTATTTGGATCCTGTGATTTTGTGAAATTCTAATTATAAATCTAATGGTTTTGAAGATCAGGTACTGAGAGTGCTTGATTATTCTCGTATTAGCCGACACCTTTTAGTGATGGCTGGTGATGATGGATCCATACATCTATGGGATACAACAGGTCGCAGTCCAAAGGTTTGTAATAAAATTTTCACTGAGAAGGCACAGAAATAAGTAGAAAAATGGGATCTTTGATTAAAGAGATCATATTCTTAAATGGCATTTCCATGTAGCAACAATGTTTCTAAAACATCCAGACTTACCAAATATGTTAATGGAATTAATACTTGTGTGTTGCCTTTTTGTTTGATAAGATAATGATCAATTCAGTATTTTCTTTGATGCCATTGAAGATGTGAAGGTACTTAAACAATCAATTTTCCTCTATCAGGTGTCATGGCTAAAGCAACATTCTGCACCAACAACTGGTGTTAGCTTCTCACCATCAAATGACAAGGTCTCCATTTTATTTTGTTGAACTATGCATTTGATTGGTCATCTGGACAAGTATATTTGATAACTGAACCTTAATGTTCAAATTTGGAATACATGATGTTAATTTGAGCATTTCCTTTTGTCAATTTCTGTTTTCCTCTGGTGACAGATAATTGCTAGTGTTGGTCTAGATAAGAAGTTGTACACTTTTGATTCTGGGACTAAGAAACCTGCATTTTGCATTCCTTATGAGGCACCTTTCTCTTCATTGGCTTTTCGAGATGATGGTTGGATTCTGGCAGCCGGAACAAGTAGTGGACGGGTAGTTTTTTATGATGTCCGTGGAAAACCACAGCCTTTCACTGTTCTTCGGGCTTACGGTAGTTCAGAGGTCAATTTTTTTTTCTTTCAAGCTGTTATTGAAGAATCATCTATCATTTGAAAATTCCTTTGTGTGTGTGTGTGTGTGTTATCTTCTTGCAGTCTTGCTCATTTCCTTAGTGTCGTGTGTAAGGTGTAAATGCAACTATATTTTCTTACAGTGTTCTAGGTTTCTACAGCAATATTTAGTTAGATAGATATGCCAATTAGAAAGATTCTTGGGTTGATGTAAGAATTGTTTTGTGAGGATCTGGTTTTTGCTGGAAAAAGGGGACCGGAAGCCACCAGTTGATTGGTCCCCAATAGGAAGGCATTCCATTACCAAATTTGATCTGATGATCTTCACATTCTGACTTGTGAATTGCTCATTGAATCTGTAGTACCTTATTTGTATGCATGATTTCACGCATTATTATTTCTTTTATTACCTTCTTATTTCATACTAGAACTACATCTAACCTTGGGTAAAAGAAATAATATATCTAATCTCCACTAATATAATATGATTTGTCCTTTTTGTTCAAGTCTTGAAGATAATAACTCTAGAACATATTAACTCAAGTATCATCTCCATTTTTTACAAAACATGTGCATTTGGATAATAGTTTCTTCACTCTTTTTGTTTATATATTCTAAACCAATACCCCCACCCCAAACCCTGCTACATCATTTTCCTTGGAATATTCTGCAATGCATGCAAAGTACTCAGGTTTTTACCACAATTTATTCATGCCATACGTTCATATCCTCTTGTCAACAGATGTATCTTTTGTATTGATTGAATAAAACCTTGAAAACTTCAGAGAATACAAACATGGAATAATGCTTTCACTCAGATTCTCGTGTCTTCTAAAGGGAAAGCCAATTTCAGCTTCATCATAAGGCTTTTTTTCTTCCTGCTTCATGGTCTCTCCATTTAGTCTTCATCACTTTCCAACTCATAAGAATAAATTCGTTTTTTGAATTTTGTGAATATTTTTTATATCCCATTGCATCAAAACCTCTTTGCATGCTCTTAAAGATGCCATTCAATTGAATTATAATGCCACTATTGTGTGTCACAGTACCTTGACCACTTTTGCTATGATTTATTTCCCTGAAGGTTCTTTGAATTTATTTCAAGTATATGTCAGATCCTTTGTTGTAAACAATGTTGTCTTTGGACTAGGCCAGATAATCAGACCATTCAGACCAGGAATGGGTAGCCAGAATGGTTTTTGGCTTGCTGGTTCTTTGTAATGTCAACTTGGTCAGAGTTACCCCAAATGCATGCGTTAAAATAGCTTTAAAATAAAATCTGGTTTTCCACCTCATGGATAATCAGGTTTAAATCTGATTCTGTATTTTATTTTTTATTGGTTTGATACTCACATACCTTAGAACATGTAAGTAGTATTTACTTGTATCTTTCACAAGCAGCAATCTATCTGGTCAGAATTATGTTTCTCAGTTTCATCAATTTGGTAAGAACAAATTTCTTCACCTTCACTAATGCTAATGTTTCTGTGGTTTTGAATTTGACCAGGCTGTTACAAGTTTGTGTTGGCAAAGATCGAAACCCACTATTGTAAATGAAACCAACTGTACTGCTGAGACTGCTCTTTTGGGTGGTGCTGGTGAAGATTCAATTCTTATGCCCGACCCACTTCCTTCCATTACTTCATCAAACCTTTCTCTTCCCGCAGCAGTCCCTAGTTCTAGGAATCTTGGGGGTTTAGGTTCTGTTGATGCATCTTCTCTTTCTGCAACCAGCAACATCTCAAGCACAACATACCTATCTAAAGCAGAAGAAACCCCTCATCGAAATCATCTGTGGACGGGTGGGCCTTTGGCAAGATTACAGGCTCCTCGTACTAGTTATAACTTCAAGGATGACATGGAGGTTTTTTCTCCACTAGTAGATGTTCAGCCTATTACCCCCTCACTTGATAAGTTGTGGGACGATCACGATGAGTCTAAGAAAGAACGCCTTTCTGTTGATAAAAAGCCCTCTCTTTTGTCTGGTAGGAGATTTCCCTTTGCAGAGGAAGGGGGTGCTGATTCTCACCCAATCTTTGACTGGAAATCTTCTTCAACCAATAGACAGGTTTGAAACTCATCTTTACCACAGAAACAAGAGAACTTCTGTGTGCCATTCCTATAAAAGACTTTGTTCATTTTTCCTCATTGTCTATTGTCAATCATATTTTCCAGATGGTCTGTCTTGTTATGCTACTATAACATTATCTTATGTTTGAAAGAAAAGGTAGGGAATGGTGGGGAAACCTGTACAAACCTATACCTATTTTTCTTTCAAAGCAAGTGCAGCCTAAAAGCTCATGTTCTATCACTTTATGAAGTTCACATTTTCTGATAAGATTCTAATCAGCAGCACTTCTTGCAGGATGAGACTCGAACTTCCTTGTCACTTCTTGGGCCTACACCTGTTTCATCTTCTAAGACTGATGATTCTCTTGCCCCCACTCCTGAAGCTTGGGGTGGTGAGGTGTCATCTGATAAGCTCACCCACCACCGCCAGCCATTTTCTCTGCCATCTCGCCTTGGGATGTTGAGTTCTGGGAGCCTGACATCTGGCTCCATGTTTGCTGGTCTACAGGATTCTTCTCTGTCCACAAGCCACACAAGTACAAGTTCCCTGGCAAATTCAGGCCTGAGCTACACAGGCCTCCGTTCCAGAGACATCTCTAGTCAAGAAATGTCCTTGGGACTTTCAGAACACAGTCGTTTTAGTTCAATATCCACATCCCTAGGGACAAAAGGCATCATAGGACAGGCCAACGTTGAATCTCTGGGTTCTGCATCATTAGCTCTCCCTCGAAGATTTTCTACCTACGCTGAGAGAATAAGTACTACTTCTTCCTTTAGTGAAGGAACAGCCCTTGCAATGAGTTCCCCCAAAGCAAAGAAAACAGGAGCAGAAACCCGAGAAGAACTTTTGAATAGCTTGTTATCAAGATCAGACACCTCAGCTGCCACAGGAGCAGGAATTCAACAAACAATAAATGTAAAAACTACCAAATGGGTGCATTTAAATTTTAGCTAAAATTTATTTTGTATCAGACTTCTTTTCTTCCTGAATGTCTATCCACTTGTTTATTGGTTAAACAGATGATGATAATGTTGTAACAGGGAGGAACACCACAGCCACAGAAGGCCTCATTTCAGGCAGATACACAGCAAGGTGCCTCCTCGTTTACCCTTCAGCTGGTTCAGCGTACTCTTGAAGAAACTCTGGCATCAGTCCAGAAATCCATCCATGAGGATATGAGGAACCTTCATATTGAGATACTCAGACAATTCCACATACAAGAGGTATACAGCGGGATTATTGTTTTTAAACATTTCCATTGCTTTTTGTTTTTGTTTCTCATAGGGCCATTGAACAGATGGAAGTGTCGACCGTGATGAACTCAATTCTGGAAAAGCAAGCTGAGCTGATGAAGGAAGTTCAGTCTCTTAGGAAAGAAAATCAGCAACTACGTCAGTTACTTTGAGCAATGGTGAAAATTGTCATCAATGTCCAGAATCTTGATGATGCCTTAATTGACAAATTTATTCTCTGGTTCTTGTTTGTGGCCTATAGTTGATAGGCTTGGGCTTTGAGGGTGTGATTTTCTGGCTCCAATTGCCAGGTAGTGACAAAGAGAATTTGATTCAGACAAAAAAGAAAGGAAAAAAATTGTAACATGTACGAATTAAGTCATTTAATCAGTTATATGCTTGAAGCTTTCTTTGATCCCATCTGACCATGTACTTTTTAATTTAAACCAAGGCCAGATGGTGGAAATATCGAGTCCCTTTACCAAATAATGATTCATCATTCATCCATATTAAGATTGAATTAACCTTGAAAATGTTTATTATTATTTTTTTTTTATCAATAACACTTTCATTAATCAGTAGAAAATTTACAGGAGGAAGACAAATACACTTATCTTCCAAGAGCCACAAAGAGCCTCATGAAAGGAAAAAAATAAGAAAAAGAGAAAAGAAGACACTAAAGTTACAGTTTAGCCCAAAACAATGAATCTCTTTTTGTCTCTCGTTTAGCTAAACCATCAGTTAGGGAATTAGCCGATCTTTTAACCCAACATGTCTTAATTTCCATCTCCCGCACCAGCCACATGAATTTCCTCCTCTCATTGTTGTATTTCCATAAACCATTTTAATCTTTAATCAGTCACCCTATCACCACCTCTGAATCCCCTTCAATTATGAGTTTCTTGATGTTCAACTCCTTAACTTTCCGGACTCCTTTCATAATTGTAAAGATCTCAGTTCTAAGGGAGTCACCCACTCCAATTGGGCCTAAGAACATGGTAGAGATGACCCCATTTTCGTCTCTAAAAACACTTCCAATCCTCGATTGTCTCGGATTTCCCCTACTACATCTATTAAAGTTTAATTTTAAGAATCCAATGTTTATTAATTATTTAATTACATAACTCGGTGATTGTTGCATTCCTCTCTCTCTCTCTCTCAATTTTCAATTCGACTCACATGCAACACCAAAAGAGCCATCTACGCCTTGATTTCCTGAAAAACAAACCAAATATCTGCAGCAATGACGCAATGCATGGCTGATGGAGGTCTTGTCTTAATCCACGCCGTTCTGCAAGCTCGGGAGCTTAAAGAGAAAAAAGAAAAGAATGATTACATTCTTGATTCTTTTATAGGGCTTATAAAAGACAACAAAAAACAATAAAAAACCAACCCGTGACAATTTTTCATCCACCCAAATTGGGGGCTGTTTGGCAAGTCAGGTCTTTCAACAGTCCACAAAGAAAATACATTGAGCTTTTGGGATCTTGTCTTTAAAGATCCAAGACTATTTGATTCACATTATGGTCTACCAGACTATTAAAAACAGTTGAGAAGGTTATTTTCAGCACAAAAAGACCAAAAGCTTCATTTGGAGCTTCCTGATTTTCTGCTTTTTCAATCTTTCTGTGTGCTTGTCTTCACGTCTTCCTATCTATGCAATACCAAACGGAAAAGACCATTTTTTGGTCTTTTGATCTTCCCACAAACCAAAAGACATGCCAAACACCACCTTGATCTATCCAACCCATCCACTTATAAGCTACAAGCCTATAACATTCAAACACATTCATTAACTCAACAGATTAAGGGCCCATTTGGTCTGATAATAGGAATATGGAATTGAAAATAAAATGGGATATTCCGATTCTAATTATTGGTTTGATAGAATCGGAATCCCATTCTTGATGGAATGGTCATTCCCTCCCCCTCTTTTGGGAATGAAATTTCATTCAAACTGATTCTAATTATCATTCTAATTCTTGTCTAAACCAAAGTAAGAATAGACCATTCCAATTCCAATTTCAACTATAAACCAAATGGACCCTAAAAATAGGGTGAATCATCCATTGGGTGAACATGGTTTCAGGTTTAACCGTTTAAATCATGAATTTGTCAATCTGTTAAGAAGTGCCCTTTGCATATTATGTGTCAGATGGTCAAAAATCAAAATGGGTCACGTTTCGGGGGACTCGTTAGATCTCCAAATGAACATACACCTTACATGGCTCAAGATGGCCTTTGGATCATACAGGGAATTGCGGCTGGAGCGAGTACAAGATTATCCCGCTGTCGCTGACATACACTCGGTATTTCGTCATATGTCATCTCTGTCCTTGCATCATACAATACAAGTCCAAACTTACATGTGATCCCTCCCCTCATTTTACCTGTTACAGAACACAGTTTTCATTTTTCAACGTGGACAGAAGCAGAAGCAGCCGGGCACCACAATCCTTTTCTTCTTCAATCATCAGGATTTGCCACGTTTTAATGTAATTTTTTTCTAGCTAATGCAGCTGAGTAGCACAGTTTAAATGGGTTAATGGGTGGGTTGCTCATCAACCCGCATTCGACCCAACCCAACCCACCCAGTTCCAGTTGTACCGCAGTCCGCAGGCAATAACTTGATGCCTAATTTCTCCTGATTTAGCCAATGGGTGTGCAGTGTGCTTATGGTTTATGAAATATTATTTTCAACATATGTAGATGACATTGTGGGAGATTTTTAGAGTGTTGGGGTTTACAAATCTATTAAAACAGATAAAATGGTCAGCTTAGCTCTCTAACAGTAGCCACAGCATTCGAAATTTCCAACTAAAATACACAACACGGGCAAAGATCAAGAAAATTCCAAGGTACAATAAAACGAAGACTACGCAGGCTCATCATTCATCTTGCAAGTTTTCTCTGATTTCTCTGAAACTATTAACATCATCCATCCCATATACAAGTATACTCCTTCCATAGTCACCTAAGAGGAGGCAACAAAAGAATTGCTGTACAAATAAACTTTTATATACGAACACTGCCGGTTAGCAGGCAAGGTATTTGCAGAGACGCCCATCTTCAAGGTGGGCATTGTTGACCCTCACACTTGAGAAGAGCCATTCTTTGAGACCTAGACTGGCTTTGTCTGTTATTCAAGATGTCAATGTATGTCCGAAGACGAAATAGATCTGAATTTGTGAGAGAAAAAGGAGGGTTCACGATGAGGGATGGTGCTTCAACTAAAAGAAAGACTAGTAAGCGTACTGCTTTTGAATAAAAAGATGCTGCACTGTCCATCTCACCCATCAGCTCCTCAACCTGCCACATAAATATAAAAAGGCTCATCAGTTCATGACATCTTCTTAACACTATAAAGAGCTCTCTCATTGTAATGCCAGTGACCAGTATCTGCAGTCCAAAGACCTCATAACTAGCCAGATGGTATAATATTCAGTACATCATAACCATCATCAGCTTCAGCTATACCCAAGAGTGCCTGTACCAAAAATTAGCGAGATCAGATGACTTTTATCATCCGATCTATGCTTTGACTTCCTCCGCAATTCCAATGATCGTAGCAGACTCTTAGTATTGTTCATATTTCAAGCTGATTTTTTCCCATTAACCCCCAAAGTCCTTATCCTCTGGAATGGGACATATTGCTAGTTATGAAACCTAGGACCATTTCACAGGTCCCGTGGTCCTAGACTCATGTTTTTGCCTTCAAAATGAGGAGAAATAAGAATGATAAGCGGTGCAAATGGAAGTCAATTTTAATTATTTAAAGAGTTTCTAAAGCTCTGTTTGTTTGCGGTGCAAAAATTAACCTGATACAAATTTTGCACCTAGATCAGTTTTGCATCCAAATATATGTAACTATGATTTGCACTCCCATTTGATATAAAATTTGTTCTTTTTGTCTCATTTGCACCCCAAGAAGATAAAGGCGGTGTTTGGCATCAGTGCCGTTTTCTGAGAAAACAATGCCATGTAGGCACCACGTCAGAGAAAACGGTGTTGGAACCAACGCCCTCTTGTTTGGTACCGTTTTCTCAGAAAAAACGTTGCTCCAGACCACACCTTGAAAATTGGGAAAGTGTGGTCTGGAGCAATGCCAAATTTGATATTTTCTGGGAAAACGGTGCATTGCTGCCAACAATGCAATGACATGGCATCAATGTGGCATCATCTTGGACATTGGATAATAAGATCAATGTTGAAAGCGTTGCTTCCAGCACTGGTACCAAACAAAACCAGTGCTGTTTTCTCAAAAAACGCCTATGTGGCAGCACCGGTTCCAAACAAAAAATAAAACGGTGCTTACAACTCCACATGCACAGCACCGTTTTTCTAAGAAAACGGTGCAATGTTCCCAGCACCGATGCCAAACACCTACAAAAAGAGACAACCCCTGAAACCAAACCTTACAAAGACAACCCACCCACACTATTACAACTTTTCCTTCATCCTAAAAATAAAGAGAAATAACAGCAAACAAACAAACATTATAGGTGGTTCAAATCCAATGATGTCCATGTAACATTCCACTATACCATGCCAAATGAGGGATTCCTACTGTCATGATAATGCTATTCCCCTTTACATATAAAATTTAGGCTACAAATATATGCCAATTCTTAATTTTTCCATGGATTTACTACTCAATGAGTTTTAATCAGTATTGATCAAAATAAATGAATTTTAATCAGTCTGTGATGCTCTAAATAAGGTGCGAAAGAAGAAGAAAATACTCACAGCACCAAGCCTGCCAAATGCAAGGGCAGATTGGAATATGGTCTCCATGGCATCTGGCATTTCCGTGCCACCTGCAACCAATGCTATTAAAATTACCACAAAAGGATATTAACAGAAGTATTTCTTTAATGTTTTTTGTGGAGCTACACAACATGGGATAGTCCGTCCCCCCAAATCCATAATCCAACACTGGTGACAGTGCTATTTGATCCCAAGTTTCTGCCACACCCAGCAAGAGAACTTACCAAGCCACCATTAGTTGGCAATTATTTCTTTAATGCCACGCATAAACAAGTTATAGATTCTTCATGGTTGTAGATATCATACAAGCTATGTTACCCAGATACCTGTATAAGAGTGCTGTATCATGTGGATACTTCAATTTTTAGTGTAAATTCTGTAACCGAGCCACACCCTTGCTATATATGTGGGTAACATAGAATATAAAGCAGAAATAGCCAAGTGCATACATGTGGATGAGGAAAAAAGGGATGCTAACTGTATCTTTTCCGGGAGACCCAACACACAAATGTAAATAAAGATATCTAATGCCTGACTATCCATGCACCGGTTCTCTTTAAACTAAGAAACAAAATTTAGTTTTCCAAAACTCCAAGTCTAGTGCATAGTAAATAATATATGAGTCCAAATCAGTTTAGTAGTGTAGGCAACACCTATGTATTCTGTCCCTATGAGGGAAAGCATTACCTAGACATGCTTGTTTAACAAAACAATTCTATTGACCCACTTATTGCAAATTTAAATGGTAAAAGCAAGCATGAAAAAACTCTCTTCTGCTATTCCTCTTAGTGCTAGCTTTTCAGTCAAATTGAACTTTAAACACCTTATCTGGAAGACTAAATATTTAATTATATTAATGATGCCAATAATAATTTCACATAATCAAATGCTACAAATATTTAATGTCATATATAATATCTTAATATGGTTTTTATTTATTAGAATGGTTGAATGCCTGATAGATACTAATAACAAATGCATCTGGTAGGGTCCTAGATACATGAGGCAGTGGCTTAGGCATCACTTTAGCATTCATCTGTATTTTTCATGAGCTAAATAAATAATAATATTCTAGAAGTCAAGAAGATACACAGTTTAAGTAGGAAAAGAAATGTATCATACAAGTAGGTTAGAAATTTGTTTTCCAATATTGAAATCATATAGCAGAACTATGCATTGGATCAAGAATATATGCATACCATCAATTGGCTCAAGATCCTTGGCAAGTTCCTCAGCATGACCAACTTCAAGGAGAAATTCCCTTTCGATCTGGGGGTAAACAGCTTCAGGTCCTTGAGTTTGAATAACATTATTAAATTCTTGAATATTTGGACTTTCATGCTTCTTGCCGGTGCCCCCTCTAACTCGACTACTCTCTTGAGTCGGACTTCCTTCTAAAGCTGAGGCAGCCTGTGTGTGGCAAATATGAAGGGCTTGCTTCCAAATTGCCAAAATTACCAGCTGAATTGAGAAAGCTTCTAGTTTCCTACCTGCCTCAATCTTTGACCATAGAAGGAAGAACATAAGTAATTAAAACAAAATCGAAACAGAGGAGAAATAGGAGGTACCATTAGATAGATCATGGGGGTGGTCAACCAAGATTTAGGCCCTGTCCGTTTGCTCTTAATGCCCCTTATCTCTTATCTCTTAATACCTTTAATTTGTTTATATTAACTCCCAACACTCCTAATGCCTCTTAAAGGTATTAAGAGATAAGAAATAAGAGATAAGAGGCATTAAGAGAAAACGAACAGGGCCTTAGTATTAAATGTGGCACACATACTAAATGCAAGGTGTAATAATTAATGGATCCCACCAAAAAGATTTCCTTTGCAGCATATTACCTGAGTCCCAAGATTCTAACAATTATTCTAGACTTCCTCCTGGACATTCGATGATAATTAATTTCAAAGGGTCTTGCACTGGAAGACAGTGTTTAACATTGAAGCAAAGTGGTTCCTGCAGGAAGAAAGTAATGATGGACTGAAAATAAGAGAAGTGGGGAAAGGAACCTGGTTTATGAGAGAACTTGATGGTTGAAAGGATTTGGGGACGAACTTGATGGGTGGACAGAAGAGTGCACTGGAGAAATGAAATAATTATGATAAAGAAGGAATTTATGATAGTTAGAAAAGAGAACAAAAAATGGCAGTCTTTCTTTTATTATTATGAACTAAACATATTTACCCCTGAGATTGGGATGCCTATCGCAAGCTTGTAATATTTACCCCACACCCCAAAATAAATTCTCTTTCCACCCCTTGTTTTGCCAAAGCATCTGCCATCCCATTTGCTGATCTATATACCCAAGACGCATAAAGCACTCTATTGCTTTTTAGCTCCTTTATCTCCCTCATGAACTTTCTGTACTGCCAGGAAGTTGATTTTGCCTCTTGAATCCATCCCACCACAACTTCGGAATGAATTACTCTCTATTAGCAAATTGGCAAGGTTGAGACTTTTTGCTAGCCTCAAACTTCGCAGTATTGCCAGAATTCCTGCTCTAGTAGAATGCCTGTGACCTTCTGTGCCCAAAACGATGCTAGAACCTCTCAGTCCTCTCCTTTATAATTTCTGAACACCCCTCCTATTCTAGATTGCCCAGATTTCCCCTGCTGTATCCATCAACATTTAATTTGATTAATGTGTTGGTGGTGGTTCCTATTGAGGAGAAACAAGAGATTTAATGGTAGTTGAGTTTGTCTCATTGTTTTGACCCAATGGACAACTTATTAAATCACCAGTCAACCAAGAGCTAAGTAGCCTCATTTTTTTTACCCAATGGACAACTTTCACTGTAATGTGTTCTATGATGTCATTTCTGTGCTGGATCTGAACACTCTTCAATTCCTTTCTTCCTAAACAAAACACACAATTGCTGGCCTTTCACATCTCTATTAACATTTTCCCCTCCTACCTGGTAGACTGAAAAGAGATGCCACTTCTGAAGGAAGACTCCAATGTCTCTCTCTGCTTGCATTAAAAAGGAGGCAAACATGTGGAGGTAAACACTGACCATGCCTTTCCTCTGTAGCTTCTCACATATGTTAATCTTAAGTGATATACTTCCCACCAAAAAGCCCTCACTTTGGGAGGTGTCAGTCTACCCCAAATTCTTTAATGGGTATTGAATAACTTAGTTTATTTTTAAGTTTAGCGTCACAAGGGCACATTTGTAATTTCTCTTTTCTTTTATTTCTGTATGGTCACCCTAGTATAAATATTAAATAAACTGGTGCTTCCAGTTGACTTTTGGCTCTCTCAAATCCTGTCTCTCCTTTCTCTCTTCTCTCTTCTCCTTCTTCTCTTCTCTCTATTCTGGAATTGCACCACCTCTGCACCAAGAAAATATGATGTCAGAGCGGCAGATCCAATCTTAGGAGCAGGGTGGTGCTTCTTTCCTTTTTTGTCTATTGGTGATTGAACCAAAGAAAAAGATCTCTGGTGGACGTGTGAGGGAGCTCACTGCAAAATAGTTCTTTTCTCTTGGTCGTGAGCCCAGAAATCATCAAGGGGGAGGAAAACCAAATGCTGTGAGTTGGTTTTTTCATTTTTCTTCCTCAGTTTTGTGGATCGAACTGATCCTTTTGTACCCAGATGAGTGGGTTATGTGGGTCTAATGACCTGCGGCTGGTGTAAGAGTGTCTTCTCTCAATGTACGTGGATCGAGTGATCCTCCTTATGCCCTAAAAGGTGTTATTTCTTCAGGTCTGCAGATCTGTAACTGCTGTGACAGCAGTTTGTTTCCTTCTTCTGTTCATATTGAACCTAAGTTGCTGTGTGAAAGTTGATTTATTGCTAGAGGGAATGGTCAGACCCGTTTTCTTTGATATGCTTTACACATCTGAAATGGTTCAGTAGGGCCGAAATCTGAGAACAGTAATGGTGTGTGACCAGTTTTGATTTCTTTGTGTTAGAACAAGTTTTCTTGTGTCCAGAGTTGTGGCTGAACTGAGACTTCAACCTGTTTGACTACTGTGAGTCTGAACTGAACTGAAAATTTGTTCTCTAGCTGGATTGTGACTGAACAGATTCAGATTCTCTGTCTTCTGAGGATTCTGGTATGTCTGGTGTTACCTCTAGTCAGAGTGGGATGAGCGGAGGTTTTGACATGAGTTTCCCCATGGCTGTGATTCCCTTTGATGGCCTCAATTACTTAGAATGGTCAAGGGGAATCAAGCTCTATATAACTGCAAGGGGAAAAGTGGGGTATATCAATGGTAGAATCAGAGAACCCCAGTCTAGTGGTGTGGAACATGATAGGTGGGACCAGGAAAACAGCATGGTGATGTCATGGCTGTTATTGTCTATGCTGCCACAAGTGAGAAAAACCTTCATGTGAGCAGAAACAGCTCATGAGATATGGGAGCAGGCACAGTCTACATATTCCAAACAACAGCATTATGCTAAAATATATCAGTTGCAAGCTGCCTCCTCAACTTGTAAACAGTTGGAGAGGAGTCTCTCCGTCTACTATTCAGACCTGACTTCTATTTGGAATGAACTAGATCATTATCAGAAAATAGACTGGAAATGTGATGCAGATGCCAAAGCATACAAGTCCCTGGTTTCCCAGCAACGAGTGTTTGTCTTTCTCTTAGGGCTGAATTCCACATATGAATCTATCAGATTTCAGATATTGGGGGGTAAAGATCTCCCATCAATACAAAAAGTATATGCTCTGGTACAATCAGAAGAGAGCAGACGGAATGTGATGAATAATCCTGAGAGAGAGCATGTTGCTTTAGCAACTAAAGGGAGTGTTGCCTACGGGTGGTGGAAACTCCTTCAAGAAGAGTGACTTCCAGAAGAAAGTTGATGACAAAGATAAACTATGGTGTACACACTGTCAGAAGTCTAGACATACTCGGGAGACATGTTGGGAGCTTCATGGGAAGCCAAAGTGGGCTCAGGAAATGAGTAAAAACTGGATCAAAATAAGAAGCCAGGACAGCAAGGTCAGAGGAAGTTTAATGCAGAAAATTTAGCCTTTCAAGAGCCTCAATCATCTACCACTACCATGAGCCCTTCCGTGATCATGTGAATTGGAGGTGTCTGGACTTGGTGTTAGAGAAGATGAGTTTTGATCAAAAGTGGAGAAATTGGATCAAAGTATGCATTTCCTCTCCCAAGTTCTCTATTCTGGTAAATGGTCAGACTGCGGGTTTTTTTGAAAGCACTAGAGGCCTGAGACAGGGTGACTCCCTTTCCCCTCTCCACTTCATTTGTCTAATAGAAATTCTTACCCAATTTGCCAGAAGGGCTGCTGAGGTTGGGCTTTGGGAGGGTTTTGCAATTGCTTCATATGAAGAAAAGTTAATATTCTCCAGTTTGCATATGACAAACTTTGTTTTCTTGATGCTGCTCTTGAGCAGTTAGAGGTGTTACTTGGAATTCTGTGTTGGTTTGAAGTGATTTCAGGCCTAAAGGTCAATTTGAGTAAAAGCATGATTAGTACAATGGGTCAAATTGCTAACTTGGAGAACTATGCTAGAGTGTTGGCTTGCAAAGTGGAGCCCCTTCTTGTTAAGTATTTGGGCCTCCCTTTGGGGGTGAAATGTACTTCGGCCGCAGTGTGGGACCCTGTGGTTGAGAGGTTAGAGAGAAAGCTTTCTTCATGGAAAGCAAAATATCTTTCAGTGGGGGGCAGAGTGACTCTAATTAAAAGTACTTTATCTAATATGCCCACTTATTTTCTTTCCCTTTTCCCACTCCCAGCTAAGACTGCTGAAAAGATTGAAAGTTTTCAAAGAAATTTCCTTTGGAGAGGTTGGGAAGAGGAAAAGAAAATCCACCTCATTAAGTGGGAACAAGTTTGTCTTCCTATTGAAGAAGGGGAACTGGGAATCAGGAAATTAAAAGTGTTTAATACAGTCCTCCTAAGCAAGTGGATTTGGAGATTTGGTACCAAAAGGAACTCTTGGTGGAGAAGCCTTATAGCTGCCAAGTTTGGCGTGAATTGGGGGAGTTGGTACTCCCATGATTCCCTCCCAAATTGGGGTTGCTCCGTCTAGAAAGAAATTATGAAGTGCCTTCCCTATTTCTATGAAGGGGTGATCCTTAAGATAGGGAGAGGGGGCAGGGTTAAACTCTAGAAAGACCCCTGGTGTTTGAACTACTCCTTGGCAGAGGTCTTCCCTCTTTTTTTTCTTTTTTGATCGATAACTCTGAAAAGATTTCATTAATTACAAAACTTTAAGATACAACAAGAAGTTTTGAAAGAAATCAGCTTTAGTAAGCTGACCTGGGACAGAATTACAAATGTACCCAAAACATATGTGTTCTTTGAACCCCTTGCTTTGCTAAACTATCCGCCAAACTGTTGGCAGATCTCCTAACCCATCCCACCTGGATTGACTGTTCCTTGACATCCATTTAAGTCTTCGGAAATCATTCTTCAACTGCCATGTCACCCCTCAAAAAATTGTTGTCTCATAGATGAAGAGGCAGTAATAAGTCCCCAAACCCTAAAAAAGGTTTTCGACCTTAAAAGCTGAAAA